GGCCAAGGAGGGCTTTCTTTTCTCTGGCTTACTCATTTTGCAAGGAACTTAAAAGAAGCAGAGAGGAGGGGGTTGCCCTCTGTTTGGCCAGATGAGTGCAGATCAGTCACTGGAGGCTTCAGAGGATGTGACGATGTCCCCACAGAGCAGGGAAGTGCCAGTTCCATGCTGCCCTGCAGCAGCCGCTGAATGCAGGCATCGCCGGCGATTGCAGGGGGCAGGGGTACCTGTGGGTCTCAGCAGACTTGCTGCCATGGGGGAACTGTGGGACCAGTCGAGCCAGGTAGTCCAACTTTTCCAGAGATCCTGTACATTTGGGTTTTCTGTTAAATCTTCTGATATTTCACCATTTGCAACCCATTAAATTGTTTAGAAAATGCCTCCTGGGCTGAACAAAATAAGACTTCAGGCCACCCTCTGTTCTGCCCTCCAATTTAGACCCAAAACAACATGCAGAATGTCCACTTCTTGGTCCAAACCATCCTGTCTGGCCCCTTGCGTAGGGTTCCATTCAGAGCGCCCCTTCCCAGAGAGCAAAGCTGGCAAATGAAAAGGGCAAGTGCCAATGTCAGTATGGGGTCCCCAGCACCCGCCAGGGAGGGGGGTTTCAGCCTGGTGCAGGGCTGAGGGGGATCACTCTTCCAGCCTCTGCAGCGGACATCCTTTAGGGCTGGGCAACTTCCAGGCCAGGGGCTGCAGTGGGCCAGGCCAAGGAGGCAGGTGGCAGTGGGTGAAGTGATGCTTCCTCATCAGCTGACCCAGTCCTGGCCCAAGGCGGGGAGGCCCCAGGCAGGAGCAGTCTTAGCCAAGCCGAGGCCAGAATGTCGGGCTGTGCTGTCATTGCTTTACCTCCTTCTCTGAGGACACTGAAATCGAAGCCCCTTCCTTCTCACCCCAGGGGAGCTGTGGGCTGGGTCTGGGGAGGCCCTCTGCATCTTGCTTTGCCTTTGTAATTTTTTTTTTTTTTTTTTTTTTTGAGACAGAGTCTCTTTCGTCCAGCCTGGAGTGCAGTGGTGCAATCTCAGCTCACTGCAACCTCTGCTTCCCTGGTTCAAGCAATTCTCCCTGCCTCAGCCTCCTGAGTAGCTGGGAATACAGGTGCCCACCACCACACCCAGCTAATTTTTGTATTTTAGGAGAGACGAAGTTTCACCATTTTGGCCAGGCTGGTCTTGAACTCCTGACCTCAGGTGATCCGCCTGCCCCAGCCTTCCAAAGTGCTGAGATTATAGGCATGAGCTATCATGCCGGGACTGCTCTTTTAATTTTTAAGGTAAATCAGTGAAGAGATGTATCTTTTTGCAATGTATGTGTTTCAGGTTGAGTTGATTTTGTTTTGACATGTTGGTTCAAAATAAGGTTGACCCTTTGGAAAATCAGCTTGCTGAAGCCATTTATTCAGCTCAGCTCGAGGGGTTTAATTGAAAACAGCTGAGGCACACTGACATCACCACAGGCCTCCAGACTGAAAGGGACCTCAGAGGAGGCGCGCTGGCTCAGCGCAGGGAAAGCCTGGCTTCAAAAGCCAGAGCCAGTGAAGCGAAGTTTTATCCGAGGAGGAAGGTTTTGCTGCAAAAATAGTTCCTTTAGTGTGTTTTCAAAAAACAAAGAAGCAAGAGGAGCTGAGCAGGCGTATTTAAGAGCTTACAAGAGTAGGAAGCAGTGAAGAACTCAATGAAACTCTGAAAGCAGCCTTGGATAGGCTGTGACGAGCATGTGAATGGAAGTCACGAGACAGTATGGGTTCTGTTATTTCATAATTTGCTACCATTTTATTTACTGATGGTTGGACTCTTCCTTTAGCACTCTTCTGTCCCCCGTGTTTGGTGATGAACATATGCTTTGTGCGAGTGCCTTTCTCATGGACGCCCTGCAGCCTCCTACCGTGGGCTGCAGAGATAACATCTAATGCGCAGCTGGCCTCTGGGACCTCACGCCCCTATGTGGATGGCAAATGAAGAACTGCATTTCATTTTCATGCACCTTCTATCTATTTGTCCCACTCATTTTGCAAGGAACTTAAAAGAAGCAGCGAGAGGAGGAGGATGCCCTCTGGCCAGATGAGTGCAGATCAGTCACTGGGGGACCTGCACTCTGGGAGGATGAATATCCCACGTGGAGGGGCCCTACTGTCAGGTGGTCAGGAAGGCTCGGGAACCAGGCCAAAGCACTGTCCTCAGTGCCAGAGGATGCTCGGTGAGGTGACTTAGGCAGGAGGGTGGGGCGAAGGCTCTGTTGGCCTAAGGTCAGGATATAAAGTGAGTGATGTAGCATTTTTCCAGGGGAAGTGTCCTTACACATCCAAAGGTTAGTATGACTCTAAGCAGCAGGATCAGTTCCTCTGGTGACAGAGGAGACCTGGAAGGGGCAGCACAGCCCTCAGGGACCCGTCTGCTCCCTTCCTGTGTGGAGCTGGGTCATTTGATTTGCTTGGTTTCAGCTTCTCAAGCTGTCCTGATGGTTCCTTCATACGTTAACGTTCTATGGTTCTCTGACTTACCGTAATCCTCAAGTGACAATGGGAATGTCGCAGCTTCTCTGTGGGGCTAAAGGTTCCATTTCTGTTGATCCCCCCTACACAGGCTGGGGTGGAGGTTCTCTGACCTGGGTGGGTATCAGTGGAGCCAGACGAATCTCTTTAGTGTGAGGCCTGGCCAGGGCAGCATGTGACAGACAGTTGGGGTGGGTGAACCTTCAGAGGAGTGGGCCCCTCAGAGACCTTCAAATCCTGCCCCACAGAGCCAGGGTGCAAGATGAGGGCCCCAGGATGTTTTAAGGTGAAAAAGTATCAGCAGATCGGGTGATTCTTTCTCCATTGTGGTTTTCGAAGTGGGCCGCCAGGTTCCCATTAAGCCAACTGAGTCAACACTGCCCTTCTTTCCCTGCTCTCTCCCCCAAAACTTGGAATTCTCTTCCTCTTCTTTGCAATCTGCCTTTCCATCACGTTAGCAAGTTGACACGGTGGTGAGGGCTAAATTCTGATTTTTTAAATCTTGCCCAAATTCCTATCTAAGGGGTCTGGGGAGTCATGCACTACAAACCATAAATTCTCATCAGATGGGTTTTATTTAACCCTAGATATTGTGACTTACTTTCTAGCTTGACTCTGGCATAATGTTATGAGATAAGGAAGAAAATCAAAATATTTTACCCCAAAACATGTTTCTTTGTGGGTAACACCCCCCATGGGCACTGAGGAAGGAGAACTGTCCAGACCCCAGGCACAATTAGTGCCTGAAGAATATCTTAGTTTATAGTGTTATTACTCAGCTATTTCCTTATATAATCCTTTATATATAATTGTATATTAGTTTATAGAATTCGTGCCTGAAGTATAACTTACCGTTTACTATATCCAGCTTATAGATATAATCATACTTAGTTCCATGTAATCTTTCTATATAATCATACAGGTATTATAGTCAGAGCTGTACTGACATTTAGTGCTGATTTATATAATCCTTCCATATAACCATATAGTAGTTTAGAGTAGGAGGAATGCCCACAGCAGTCACAGAACAGAAGCAGTACATGGGAAAACAGCCAGACCAGGACAAGAACCAAAGACCCAGGCGGTGGCATCCCTGCCTGAAAGGGCATACACTGTATGGCAGGCTTGGAGCAAGAGCCTCTCCTCCTGATAAAGGAGTTATAGTACATAGCATCCAGTTCCTGAGGAAGGTCGGCCTCAGGCCTGAGATCCTGGAAATAACCGAGGGAGAAGAACCCCTCTGGTGTGACCAGTCACGGCGGCTGTATACCCTGTCAGTCTTTTCTCGCTTCTGTCCTAGCCCAAATCACCCTCCCATAAATATCTTAAGAGAAGAGCATAGGCCAGGCGTGGTGGCTCACGCCTGTAATCCAAACCTTTGGAGGCCAAGGCAGGCGGATCACCTGGGGTCGGGAGTTCAAGACCAACCTGACCAACATGGTGAAACCCTGTCTTAAAAAAAAAAAAAAAAAAAAAAGAGAAGAGTACAAGTCTGTCAGCTCCCGCTGCATTGGCTTACAGTATCCTTCTATTAGAAATCCTTTGAAGTAAAAAAAAACCAACTGTAACCACTGGTTAGCTTGACTTTCTTGGTAGTGAAAATGCAGAATAATAGGACTCTCTGATCTTTTCTTAAATTCTGACATTTAAGATATCAGAAAATTTAAGACAAAATTTAATAAAAGATCATCCACATTTGTGGATGAGTGTAGTTATAACCTGTAGTTATTTAGAAAAGCTTTAGCAGGATTCAAATGTTCTCCTCCTTCTTTTACAAAATAATCTGGTTAATAACGGAAGCTTCTGCTTTGCTTTCTTTCTGGAGTAGCATAGCCATAATTTCCTGTTGCAGGGCTGGAGCCTCTAATTGATTCCAAAGGCCGTTTGACAGTGTTGCCCTAAAGCTACCCTGTGGATGTTCACCAGCACTCCAAGAGTGAGGAGCTGGGTCTGTCTGTGCGGGCCATGCTCACGCTATGTGTTAGTAATTGATTGGCAAATTTTTGCTTCAAAATAAGTTAAGGGAAAGTCTCCTAAACATTGGTGTTCAGATAAGCCTCACAAAATAAGAGTTTTATTCTTGAAAATGAGAGTAAATATGAATTTTTAAATGCAAATAATTGTGATAATTATAGAAAGATAAAATATTGTCATAATGTTGTCACAGGCTATATATATTACGAATAAGTTTCCTCATATGAGTAATGTATATATATTATATATAACATATATAGCAACTCTATAGTTGAAGTGAAAATGTTCCAGTTATTTATAAGAGCATGAGATACAGAATTTAATGTGCAGTATTTTTAAATTTACAAATTATAATGTAATTTTATGTTCTGAAAATAAAACATGGACATTATAGATAATTTGAAGATTTATAAATTAAAAATTAACTTGCATTTTCTTAGAAATAAAATTCATTAATATGTTGGAATATTTTTAGCCAGGCATTATTTCCAAATTATAAAGTATTATTTAATTAATAGTTCATGTACATGTTTAATTGCATTGTAAATTTCATCTTGTGTGGTGAACATTTTTCCCATGTCTCTAAATAGTCTTAAAACATATTAATTGACTGCCTATTAAAAAAAATCCTTTGAAGTCTCTGGCTCCCAGATAAGAAGTGTTGCGCATGACACCTGTTGCACACAGCCCACCTCCTTGCCTCAGTGACCTAATGGGGGTGCACCCCTTTTCTGTACACGACCCACTACTGTGCACGGCATGGCCCCCTACTGTACATGGCCCACCTCTCTGGCCAGGTGACATAATGAGGTGAAACCCTCACTTGTGACTCATGTGATTATGTATGCCCTATCACTAAGCCTATAGATAACCTCACTTACGACCCTTCCTTTTGCTTGTACCTAATAAATACAGACGCTTCTGTGTGTTAGGGGCTGGCCTGTCTCTGACATGTCTCTGAACATGTCTCCGTTCGCGGCATGGCCCCCCGAGTCCAGATGCTCTTCATCAGTTCTTCAGTGTCCTGTCTCTTTACTTCTCGGATCCTGCGCCTCAGCACAGCATAAGGGACACCCCAAGACCCTGTGGGGCCTTACATTTCTTTGCCATAATGTGAAATGGCCCTGCAAAGCTGTTCTTTGCGGGGGAAACTTTACATCTGTAAAGAATGTCTATTAACGTAGCTAGATCTTTTTCTTCCAGACCCTCCCAATCCTAAAGAGATTAACTAAAATCTGAATAGGAAACATTTGTCATCTGTTGTCTCTAAGGGCAGCCACTATAAGACTTCAAATAACTTTTCCCACAATCTTTACCTTAACCTGAACATTCCCTTCCTACGAATCCCAGGTCTCTAGACAAACTCAATCAGTTACCAACCAGAAAATGTTTAAATTCACCTATAGCCTGGAACTGCGCACTGCCCCCCCGCCCCGACCCCTTTGAGTTGTTCCTCCTTTCTGGACCAAACCAATGTATTTCTTAAATGTATTTGATTGATGTGTCATACCTCTCTAAAATGCGTAAGACTGGCTGGGCTCGGTGGCTCACGCCTGTAATCCCAGCACTTTGGGAGGCCCGAGGCATGCAGATCACCTGAGGAGGGGAGTTTAAGACTAGCCTGACCAACATGGAGAAACCCCATCTCTACTAAAAATACAAAATTAGCTGGGCCTGGTGGCGCATGCCTGTAATCCCAGCTACTTGGGAGGCTGAGGCAGGAGAATTGCTTGAACCTGGGAGGCAGAGGTTGCAGTAAGTTGAGATTGTGCCATTGCACTCCAGCCTGGGCAACAAGAGCAAAACTCCATCTCAATAAATAAATAAATAGTATAAAACCAAGCTGCACCCTGACCTCCTTGGGCACGTGTTCTCAGGACCTCCTGAGGGCTGTGTGATGGGGCCATGGTCACTCATATTTGGCTCAGAGTATATCTCTTCAAATATTTTAGAGTTGGACTCTTCCTTGACAGTGGGAAGGGGAGGAGCATCAGAACCCAGCAGACAGATGGGCTTTCCCCTTTCTAACTGCATGAGGACGCCCGACCTCTCCAGGGGCCTTGTTCCCCTGGGAACTGATAACATCACATCACAGTTTTGTTGAGCAGATGACACTAAGACCACACGTGTAAGCGCAGCTGGCACACAGTAGACCTTGAACAGGTACCTGTTCCCTTCTCTCGAGAGCCAAGGCCTCTGGAAGAAACGCGTGCAGCTGCATCTGGTCACCAGCCACTCAGAAGCCCAACCTGCTGTTCTGTAACCATGCAGCTTACAGAACAGCCACATGCGGTCCTACTTGTCAGGATCTCCCTGTTCTTTCGGTTCTGGTGTTTTCCTTTATTCGCTCCCTCCTACGTCTTGAAGCAGCTCTGCTCTCTGGTTTCCCCAAGCAGAGCTCCTAAGATCCCCAGACTCCTGCTGGAAGGGAGTTCCTGCCTTGGGTGTGCCTGAGTGTGCTGAGTTGAAAGGCAGTTTGTCTGAGGTGGGGAGCCGTGTGTGCACAACACAGCGAGGGAGTGACCCCGTCCAGGGAGCCGGCTCCCCTTAACAGAGCGAGCGGGGAAATCAAGACGCAGGCGCTATCATAAATGGTGGCAGGTAAGGAGCGGTTGGGCGAGGGGGCGCGGGCGTCAGGTAGAGGCCTCAGTAAACAGAGTGTTGAACAAGGGCCTCTCTCAGCTCCACCCTGGCTTTAAACCCCACGGTTTGCAGTTCGGCTCCAGAGGCCTCCCAATGACCCCAATCTCATTCCTCTCGACTCAACAGTGATGGCCGAAGGCAGAAGATAAGCTGGACTCCTGAAAGCGGACACCCCCAGGAAAATTCCATCACCCGCCCGGAGGAGCTCTGTAGACTCAGCTGGGGTAAGGGTGGGATGGGGGAAGGAGGGTGGGATGGGGGAGGAGGGTGGGATGAGGGGAGCGGGGTGGGGCTGGGGCGATAAGAGCCTTCTGGGGTGGAGGAGGCCGTCAATGAGGCCAAGACCCGCGCCTGGGGTAGGCGCCGGGCGAGGGGATGGGGTCCGAGGGGAAGGTCATCCTCAGTCCTGGCCCTGGCCCTGTCTAATGGGTCTAATGGGATATCCTGGTGGAAAGCAAGTGGGGATCTAATTAGGGTAAAATCCAGGGCTAATGAGCTGTGGCAACAGCGGGACAAAGGAACGATTCCCACAAGCCCAGGATGCGGCTCCATTCTGCCGCCTTCCCGGCTTCCTCCCCCAGGGCTTCCCGCTTCCTTCCTTCCTTCCCTGGCCTCACACCTGCAGTGCGTCCGTGTGTCCAGTGTCCATGGCTCCCCCTCAGCTCCAGCTCTGCTTGTCTTCCCATCCCGTTTGTCCCCTTTCCCTCTCCTCTGCCCCTGGCTCTTCAGCCCACGTGTCCCTGGCATCACCCTGCTGTTCTCTGCGTGCCTCCTTTCTTTGTTCTCCCCCTCCGGGAGTGGGAAGAGCTGGGCTCTGGGCTCCCGGGGTAGGCTGGGTGGCAGAGGGTGAGCCCGGGATGGTTGCCTAGGCAATGAGGAAAGTAGGACAAACACCGAGCGGCAGTCAGTAGGGAAGAGGCGCCCATGGAGGAGGGGACTTCGTCCCAGCCCGGAGGCCTCCTTGCTAACCCCCAGCCCCACTCATCCCCAGGAGCTGGTCCTGAAGGAAGCTGGGGTGTCTCTGCGGGAGCTCCTGCCAGACTCCCTCACAGCCACATCTGTGCCAGGTCCTTGGGCCAAGGCGATTCTGGTGCGCCCTCGCCCTCAATGCGTGGCCTTCTCTGCAGGCTCAGGGCACATCCTTCTTCCAAAAGACCAGCCCATCAGGGCAGCCCCAGGAGAGTGAACTAGCAAGGTGAAGGAGGGCAGGGTCCTCACCAGGGCAGCGCCCTGCTGTTTCTGAGCTGGGAAGCAAAGGACATACTTCTTGTTGACACCCATGGCCAACAGGTTTTGTGGAGGAGGCAGGAGGAAGTGTGGGGCCTGCTCTGCAGGAAAGGAAGAGGCCTGGGATTGGGAAGAGCTGTGGAGAGGACTTCCAGCTGCCTCAGACATGGGACCTGGGCTGAACCTCCTCAGTGAGGGCAAGGGGGGCCTGGCATGCAGGAGGCCTTTCCAGGTGGGGAGGGAAAGAGACAAGGTGACTAAGGTCTCGGGACCACACCATGGTGGTGGGGACAGTGTTCACATGCTGAGGCCTCAACAGAAAGGCTGATGGGTACAGGTGCCCTTCAGGCTGAAAGGCAGTGGCAGGGCAGACAGCTGCCCTGTCCTGAGTTGGGCATTGAGCCCGAGGCCTTGCTCTCGCAGGCTCTGGAGAGACTGTAGACTACACCGCCCTGGCGAGGGGCCTGGCCAGGGTGTGCCCACGCCATGCTGTGCCCTGAGGACTCTCTGCCCCTCCCCAAAACGGGGTGTGCTTATCTGCCTGTGCCGCTACGCTACCTCCAGCTTCAGGCCTATGAACTCCGCCTGGGGGTGTGGCCATGGTTGTGGGCCAAGCTTTGGACAGGTGTTTCTGCTACCTGGCTGAGGACTTGCTGGGGCTGGCTGAGGCCATCACTGACTTCGTGGTAACCAACTCCTCAGCCAGCAGTGAGCTGGGTCCCAGGGGGCTGCAAAACCTCCGTATGTTGTTCGTCGTGACTCTTGAACTCACAGGACACACCCCTGGGTTCCTCGGGTCCCACTTCCCAGTCTCCCCTCCCACCCATGAGCCCGAGGACCCCTCCTTCTAAGCCCCTAGAACAGACTGAGTAGGGAGCACAGCCTTTCCTCCCCTGGGTGCCTCCCTTTGCTCCCACTGTCCTGGTCTGGCGTGTGTGTAGGGAAGCCTCATACCTGCAGTCCCACCCCTCACTATAGTTACAATTCCAGACCAGATTCCAGCCTTAAGCGCTAAGACCCAGTGAGGCCTGAAGAAGGGGCTTCATGCACAGCACACCACTGGTGCTCGTGAAGCATCTTCTTGAATAAACAACAGTACCACCTCTAGCCTGCGAGTCCCTTCTGAATCTCCACCTTTAGCAATGATAGGCTCCGTTACTTCAGAAGTGCAAGGATGGCTGCATGCTGTTTGTCTCAACACTTGCCCCTCCCTCCCTCCCCGGCAAGTTCTAGTTCTCAGGACCCTCCTTAGAGATTTTCAATTTTCAACATGAAAGCACAATCCATTCAAACTGTCACAGAACTGGTAGTCTCCTACTGCTTTTGGAATTGGGAAAATGATTTGACTGCCATTTCTTTTATGTCATAGTCCTACCCCAGCTGTCCCCCCTTGGAAGTAGGAGGCAGAGGGAAGAGGGAGCCAGTGTCTTCAACCTGTTTGCAGATGCACCCATAGAGAAGGCAGGAGAGATTCCAAGTCCACTACCTACAGAGGCCTGGTTTCCCAAGTGAGGTTAGGTGCAGAGAAGGCATCAGAGTCCCTGTGATCTGCTACTTTAGCTGGGGAGGCCTGTAACATCGAATTACTAGGTTCTCTAGTAATCATTTCCCCTGTTAAAATAACAGCCATGGGAGATGGAGCTTCCGGTAGGCTGAAGTAGCCCATCTGGGCCTGAATGTTGTTTTGTGTAGAAGATGGTATTTGCATCCTGGGGAAAGCATCTTGGTGTGGAGACTCTGGCTGTGGGGGTTAGGTGCCTGTAACATCCACTCTCCTCTGTTGTCCCTCCCAAGCCAGGCAGGCCTTCAGCACCCCCTAAACTGGGACTCTCGACTGAGAAGAGATCCCCTCTGCTACTGGGCCTCCACGATGCTGGTCTTCTGTAACTTACAGGCCTGGCCTCCATGCTGCCCCACCTTCATGCTGGAGAATCTTTATTGATTGCTGCAGACCAACACTAACTTAGGCTGAGCTCCACATTCCAGCACATCCCCAGGGCTCTTTTTCTTCCTTTGAGATAGACGGCTGACTCTGGTCTGTCTTCACTGACGGGTGAGGGCTTCCTGCACTGCTTTGCTTTCCTCTTCATGAAAGTGTCGACCAGTAGATCTCACAGTGTGGTCTTTGGACCAATGGCACCACCATCACCTGTGAGCTTGTTAGAACGGCAGAATCTCTGGCTCTATCCAAACCTGCTGAATCAGAGACTCTGGAGGTATAGCTGTGCTATCCACATTTTAACAAGTCCTCTGGGGGATTCACATGCATGCTGAAGTCTGAGAACCGCTGGTGTGATATACTACCCAGGAGCCCTGAGTAGGACACCTCATTTAGTTTTCCGATCCCCACAAGGAGAACTTGTCCAGGCACATTATGCTTGTGGCTACAGAGTGTCTTCTCAAGGCAGGCAGGCTGCCTACGTCCCACTCGTCCAGTGTGTAACCCATCAGCTGACCCGACAGTGCTGAGGCCGGACTGAGAATCCACCGAATGCCTCATGAGCTCTTTTCTTCCAGAAGGTGCAGCAGGAATCAGATGGCTGTAGGCATTGCCATAGCAACTGTACCCCTCCAAAGTGCTGACGGGCTGCAGGAGCAGAGTAAGCACCGTGTAGTATCTGCCAGTGGATGTAGCATCACCAGCAGATGAGAGGGGCTGTGGAGGGAAGAGGAAGCTCAGGGTGGCCAGGACTTATGGACAAGAATTCAGTGGAGCTGTTGCTTCCTCAAGACCCATGATGCATTTGGTAGTCCTCCAGGGGTCTCCGGCACTGCAAAACAGTGCCAGCCCAGCCTGTGGCCGAATAGCAGCCTGGCCCACCCAGGAGTCAGTGATGCTGCAGTCTCTCAAAAGACCGTCTACCTCGGTTAAATTGGGCGGCTAAGTGGTCACAGAGCAATTAAGATGGAAGTGCCCATCTTTCTTCTGTGATGACCACCTGTGTTCCTTGCCAGGGCTGAGGAAAGGGACCCAGTTCCAAATGTCTGATAGGGATCTGGGTCCTAAAGCAGATGCCAATAGTCACAAAGGAGCTCGGGGCTTAGGTAATGGTGAGTATTCTAGCTCTCCAAGAAATCAACCTTAGCAGGAACCGGTATCACTAGAGTGCACCTGGTACCTGAATGCTGGCCCCAGAGCTGAGGACCCGGAGAGTCAGCAGGGACTCGGGCAGAGAAGAGGGCCCCATGCCCTTGGAAACAGGGATCCCTGCTTGCCTGGAGGGCCGGGGAGGGGCCAGGGCAAGTGGAACCCCATGGAAAGTTTGGGGGGACACAGTGCCAACCAGTGGGAAGATGAGCTATGGTGGAGAAGAGACAGGTGGAGAGGAAAGGATGGAAGGAGTGAACACCCGCCTCTTTTATTTTATCCTGACTGCTCCTTGCCAGGCTTCCCTGGGACTCCATCTGTGTGCGGCCAGGAGTTGATCCACCAGCTCTGCACAGTCCTCCTCAAAGCCAAGGGCAGGGGTCTGCGGAGGTGGGTGGGGGACGCTGGGGAGCCAGCTGTGGGGCTTCTCGCTTCATTACAGTCGCTGCCCTTTATAAATATTTATAGCAGTTCTTCTGCTAAAAATAACATCCTGGAGCCCAGGGAGGAGGAAAAAATAAATGAAAATCACCGGGAATGAGACTTGAGGATCACGTGTGCCCGAGCTGAATGGACCCCTAAAGCGAGAGGCTGTGAGCAGCGCCCCTGCGGCGCGCCCCCTGGCGGCCACGGAGTCCGCGGCGCAGGGAGTCCCTCCCGCCCTCTCCGAGGAGGCCCAAGCCGAGCTGCCGCACGCGGCGCGGTCTCCGCCCCTCCCTCCCGGGCTGCAAAGCGGAGGGTTCGCTGGGGCTGGCGGAAGCCTAACCAGTGTGAGGCTATTTTTAGCACCACGGTCAGGGTGTGAATGTCTACGGAGCCGAGCAGGGCCTGACGCTTTCTTTGCACGATAGAATAAACCTGTTGGTTTTTAAAGGGCCAAGGTAAGGAAACTTGTGTCCCCACGTTCGGAAGCACCCCACGTGCTGGCCAGACGCCAGAAAGAGTTCCATCAGGTCACACACACACACACACATACACAAGGGCTTGGTGCTTTTTCTTTTCTCTTTTCAACCTCCAGGTAAATTCCTGATGCGGAGATGAGCCCATGCCCTGAGGGGAGTGATGAAGGTGCTAGTACATGCAGGGCTGTGCAGGGGAGGCCCACCAGCTGTGCCGCGCAGCCCCTCCCCGCTTCCCACCGGCTCTGCCTCCCCTCTCCCTGGCGGGTGGAGTGAAGTCTGGCAGCCTGCAAGCCTGGTCCAGGTGTGCGGTGGAAAGATGGAGAGGAATGTGCCTCTGGGGAAGACCTTGCCTTCGCCATGTCGGCGCCAGCTTGCTCCTTGTCCTCTGTGCCTGCGCAAGACACACTCACCGTTAGTCACCTGCACTACCAGGGTTGGGGCAAACGCTGCTAACGTCTGCTGTGAATGGGAGGCCATGCGGGGAGGGGTTGCTAGGATGCTGCGCACCTTTCAGGCGCTGGGGAGAAGGGTGGTACCTAGGGTCCCCTGCCATCGTTCTGAAGGGTCAGGAAATGTTTCCGTGGAAGAAAGAACTGGGTTCACAATGCAAGGTTTGGAATGCGGTGGTTTCTTGAGGAGAATTGTGGCCGTGGAGAAGGGCAGGGAGGACTGAGGTGTGCCGAATAATGTATGATAGGAAAGGGAGGAAGCCTCAGCTCCAGGCCAGCACACCGCAGGCCTGGGCATCCGGGAAACCATGGCGCCCGAGTTTTATGCTTTTAGTGTGACTCTCTGTTGGTGTTTCTCATCACCCCGATGTGGGTCAGAGAGGACAGGATTAGGAGGCAGAAGACCCGCCTCCAATTCCGCTTCTGGTGTGGGGGTTTGGCTTCCTCCAAGTGCAATAAGGCGGTGGAGGCACATGGCTCTGCCACGTTCCCTTGCACCCCAGTTCCTTCTGCCCCGGGGAGAGAGGGGCTCTGGCAGGCTCCTGCAGGGCGAGTCAGTTCCTGATTTCCCTCCTCGGCTGCCACGGCCTAGGCTTGCTTGGCAGAGGACCTTGCCTGAATGTGTACAGTGAGTTCAGGGAGAAGCCTCTCTCCAAGACCCAGGGGCACTGTGATTTCCAGGGCAGCAAGAGAATGCGCGTGGCCCAGGTGCTGCCCACCCCTCAGCTTGCATAATCCTGAATCAGCACAGGCAGAGGCTGGAGGGGCCCCGGGGGAGCGGGCAGAGCCCTTCAAGGGCCTGGCTCGGATGGGGACAGAGGGCTGAGAGAGGGCCAGAGGCTATTCCAGGATGATGCAACTTGGGAGGGCCTGAAAAAACTCCTTTTCTGGATTGTGGGGCTAGGGTCCTGGCTATTTCACCAGAGGAAGATGCCTAATTTTTAAAAATAAGAAGTGGGGGAGGGAAGATAAGATTTTCAAATGGAGAAGTCTGATATCTTGGCCCTGGGACTAGAAAGAGTTAAGGTGTTGAGCTGGAAAATGGGAATGACTAATTCCTAAAGGCAGTGAGCATCTGCCCCTGGGGCAGCCAGCGCTTTTCTGCATTGCTTCTTCAGGAAGTGAGAAGGTGCAGCTTGCGGGCACCGAGGGGAGCGGCTGGGTCAGCCTTGTAGTCATGCCTGAATCAAGTGTCTGTAGCTCGGGCTGTGACTGGGTGCAGTGCCGGGTGGTAGAATCCAGGGACACACTGGCTGTGGTGTGGATCCCAGGAAGGAAGTGGCCAATGGCTTCGGGAAAGACGCATGGGAGGCAGTGCTCCCCAGGGAGGTGGCCTTGCTCAGCTTGATGTTTCAGCCACCGGTGTTGGGTCTGCCAATGCCATCCCAACACAGAGGACACCAGGCCCATGCCCAAGGACCAGGCCTGCAGATGTGCTGTGCAAGACGGGACACAGCCTAGAAATAGGGCAAGGCGGGCACATGGCTGGGCTGGGCAGAGGGAAGGTACAGTCGGGCTCTTTGAAGAAAGTTCTAATTGCATCTTCACCTGTTAGGACTGCCCTGGCTTGGGAGCTGTTACTGCAGAAAGGGAGGGGAAGGGAAGATGCTGAGGAGGGATGGCGGGACTGTAGGGAGGCAGAGGACTCTCTGTACTCACCTGAGCTTCCTCTGTGTCCGGCTCCTCTGCTAACCTGCGGCAGCAAGGGCAGAAACAACAGACTGAGGTCATGGCCAGGCTCTTCTCATGCCCCAGACTGTCTCTAGGGGCTTCCCTGACCCACCCACCCCACAGGCTTCCTGGCTTCTTCCCTGTTTCCTTCACGTTGACTTTTCCCACCCAGGTATGATAGCAGGATAGAGTCCTACTTTCTACAGCTGTAGCCCACATGAAGGAGCCATGGAGACAGATGCTTCTCAGGAGAAGGAAAGCATTTAAAAAATGGAACCAAAGCTCCTTCAATCCAGGGAGCAGTTCCATTAGCGGGGCAAAACCCACGCAGCTCTGGAAGGTCCCCAAGGGAACATGACTGCTGTGATTGAGGGCGATCTCCTCCTGCAGATGATTGCAAGCCTGTGCGCTTGCTCATCTGAGGCTCCAGCACTGCCTGCCCCTCCCGAGCCTGCTTGGTTCTTGGAGGCCACTGCTGTCCAGACTTGCACCAAGGCTCTTTATGGATGCAAATTGGATTTATAGCCCCCCCCACACTGGGATGGCAGGGTCTGGGAGGGCAGGTTCTCAGGGACACAGGAGCATAACATGAGGCTCTGGAGGGGTGGAGATGTTGTACTATGAGGGAAGTTGTGTTAGTCTGTGCTTCTGTGCGTCTTGGTTACACTTCTCTGAGGAGGTACAAAGGAGGAAGGGTACTCCGATGGAGCAGAAGCATTTTCCCAGGATGCACCCAGACAGCCCGGATGAACAGGGAGAGGCGTGAGGCAGGTGTGAAATATGGCGGGGAAGTAAAGCTTGGTCCAGATTCTTCCAAAGTCCCATTTGACTCTTACGGTTTTCCCATCGAGCAGACTGTGCTTGCCTGACAGTGCCGACCAAGTTCTGTTTATATCATGTCAGTATGGTTTCAACCCCAGAGAAGCAAACGCGCGCTCTCTCTCTACAGTGGACGGTTACAGATCTCTGGTGTCCAGGTGACTGCAGTCAGTTCTAGGTATGTAAAATTTCAGGCCTAGCTCATGGCAGAGAATCAGAAGGTCCACCATGAAAACACTTAGTCTTATAAAAATGCCCATGTAAGAACTACATTGTAGTTTCAAGGACATATCCTAGGACCTAAATAATGTGGAGAGCCAAACATAAAAAACACTACCATCTCTCACCACTGACTCTTAGCACTCTTGGCTTTAGGGATGACACCAGAAAGTCATAGAAATAAAAATTCAGGCATTCCCACAAAAAGATTTCACACAGACATAGACGTTCTGGTACATGCACTGAAAGACAGACAAGGAGCTCTAAGGGCAAGAGGCACAGAAAGACAGAAGACGGGGACAGGACAGTGCAGGTGCAAAGACAGCGCTCTGGAGCCTGGAGGGTCCAGGCAAGGGAATCGTGGTCCGACCCCCATGTGAGGCGTGGCCCACACTCAGACTGGAACCAGGTAAAGGCTGGAGTTCACGGCCAGGGCCAGGCCTCAGGGGCTGGGGCAGAGTCCTAGGTTTGCTTTGGGGGACTGAAAGAGACTGAGGAGAGGCCATGGGAAAAAGCCACTGGGGACGGGAGGGGCAGGGGAAGGGAGGCCAGAGATGCAGCTGTTACATCTTCAGCCAGGAATATTCCACACCAATGCTGGGATTTGGGTGGCATGTGAGTGTGTGCGTGTGTGCGTGTGTTTGGAGCATGTGTTTACACCAGTGTAAAGTTATCTGTGTATCTCTTCACCTCTTGCCCTCCTGCTTTCTTTGTTGTCTGTGTGGGGAAGTCAGTTGTTTGTATATATCTATGAAGCATCTCTGGATGTCTAAAACACTACTGCTCTCTAGTGTGACCTTTTATTTATTTTTAGGGACAGGGCTTTGCTCTGTCACCCAGGCTGAAATGAAGTGGCATAATTATGGCTCACTGCAGCCTTAAACTCCTGGTCTCAAGCAATCCTCCTGCCTCTGCCTGCCAAGTAGCCAGGACTACAGGTGTTTACTGCCACATCCGGCTAATGACTTCTGTTTTGTAGAGATGGGGTCTTGCTGTGTTGCCTAGGCTGGTCTCAAACTCCTGGTCTCAAGTGATCTTCCTGCCTCAGCCTCCCAAAGTTCTGGGATTACAGGCGTGAGCCACCATGCCCAGCCTAGTCTGACCTTTTGGCGTTCATGCCAAATATGTCATTCTCATCAATTCACTGGCGCTGTTGTCCACTTCCTCCCCCGCCTAGTTCAGACTCACAAGATGATTTCAGAATCTGCAGAATATTCTTCCTCAGCAGTTTCAGTGTCCTTGCTGACAAATTCCTTGCCCCCCTGAGACTCCAAAGACCTCCCTCTCTTAGCCACACCAGCCCCAATAGGCCAACAACGCTCCAGACCTCTGTCCCAGGGGTTTCCCTTCCTTGTCACAGCTTCCTTACCTGCCTCTCCCTCTTGACTTCTTTCTACCCTTCCTTAGACCACTCCACTTCGCTTTGTCTACTAGTTCTGCTCAGACTAAAGCACGGGCACTGGAGTTAAACTCAGGCTGTGCCATTATCACCTGGCAGATTCTTTCACTCCCCTGAGCCTTGTTCAGAATTCCTCCGTCAGAGGGCTGGGGCTGGCTCCTCTTCATCCTTCCTGCCTTCCCTACCTTCACCTCCTTGGGGTGACCAGCCATTCCATTTCTCTCCCTTGATAAGGTACTGTCTCATCACCCCATTTATTTCTAATTTGTTCATTAACTGACCTCCTACTAAGTGCCAGGTGCAGTTCTAGGCAGTGGGAACACAACATGAACAAAACAGACTAAAATCTCTGCCTGGGGGAGCTAGCATTTAGGAGGAATCCAGCAGCCAACATATTAACTCATGGCAGAAAGAACAGCTAACCCTCAAATGCCCAAAGAGAATCTTGTTTTCTGTTCAGTATAACATAGAAGGATGAAGATTAAGAGCATGAAGTCTGGAGCCAGAAAGACCCAGTTCAAGCCTAATCTCCGCCTTTTTTTTTTTTTTTTTGAGACAGAGTCTCTCTTTGTTGCCCAGGCAGGAGTGCAGTGGTGCAATTTCGACTCACTGCAACCTCCACTTCCCAGGTTCAAGGGATTCTCCTGCCTCAGCCTCCTGAGTAGCTGCAATTATAGGCATGCACCACCAAACCTGGGTAATTTTTGTATGTTTAATAGAGAACAGGGTTTCACCACGTTGGACAGGCTGGTCTCAAACTCTTGGCCTCAGGTGGTCGCCCACCTCGGCCTCCCAGAGTGCTGGGATTACAGGCGTGAGACACTGCACCTGGCCTAATGTCTGCCATTAACATGAACATGAGCAGCATCTCTCTGAGCCTGTCTCCTCATGGGTGAAATGGGGATACTGGAATCTGTCTCACAGTGTTGTTGAGGATTAGATGATATCATCACACAAGAAAATCATTCCACGCACATCTTCCCAGATGTCATGTATGAAACAGGTTTGATATATAATGAAACTAGGAAGGCATTACTGTCCTTTGCTGACCACTTCCCTTCTTGCTTTTATTCTTCCACGAAGGCACAAAACCATTGGGCTATTCTGGCCCACAAGAATCTCTTCCTTTTCAGAAACCCTTTTTATACTTACATGTCAGCATATAAGTTTTATGATTAGCATTTTTTGCCACTTCATTTTATCTCCTATTTCACATTTTTAGTTTTGCTTTCTTAACGATCATAAACTTCTCCCGTCAAGGGAGTCATGTTTTATGTTTTACTTGTATCTCCTTCCTGTATTCCAACAACCTATCCCAGGATCAGGAAATCAGGAAGCTTTTGCTGACGGGCTGACATTACCACCTGGAAGGTGAAACCTGTCAGATGAGGAAAGTGGGCAGAGGGAACTTGGGTCTGGAAGCTTTGGGAAAGGTGGTGGCAGGAAGGAATGCAGAAACAAAGTCGGGGGCAGTTCATCCATGGGCTCTGGCTCCCCATTCAAACTAGGAGTCCTGTTGAGCTGCCTTTACCTCTGTCTTTCCCATTCTGCATCTTCTCCTCTTCTTCCTCTGCACCTTCCTCTGCTGTGAAAACAAGTCCAAGGAGGCCAGTGACCCTTCAGCACAGTGCAAGTACAGAAGGAGGGGGAACAAAGCAACTGCTGAGGCTCGGGAGGAAACCCTAGCTAAGCTCCTGGCTGCAGGCCCCAAGGGTGCTTCAGCTCCGCAGTCTGCACCTGCGTGGCCCACGCCCAGCAATGCTGAATAGGAGCCGGTGAGCCGGGAGCCCACAGGGAGAAGTGCAGTCACATCACTCAGTTTCCTGACCGGGCAGGGGTGGGGGGTGTGTGTCTCTGTTCTATGCCTGTCTGTCCTCAGGTGGTGACAACCAGGGAGATGTCTAATGTCTTGTATTCAGGTTTAAGAAAGCAACCATAAAATATATGGTGGGGAATACCCAGATCAATACCAGTTTCTGTAAAAAAAAAAAAAAAAAATCCAGATGTTTTAGTGGATGATAAACGTACAATGACCACACAGTGCAAAGCGCTATGTGGGAAACGCTAATGCTGTCTAAGGTGCTTTTCCAGGAGCCCACTCAAGAGTTTCACAGATGCCCTGTGGTCTGCAGGGAAAGGAGCCCCCGTGATGGACAGCAGGGTGCCCAGCCCTGGGTGTGCACTTTACATAGGGGCCTTGGAAAATGGCCACATCCTGGTGTGGTCAAGCAGGCTGGGAAGAGTAAACCATGTCATGGTTGGGAAGGCTGAAGAATTGGGTGTAGCTGTCTAAAGAGAAGACTAGGGAGGGTCATGTCATCTGCCATCCAACCCATGAAAGGCCAGCCTGCAGAGGAGGCACTAGGCTCATCCTGGGTAGCTTTAGAGGAGGGAACAGGGATAAATCAGTTACAGAAAGGCAGATTTTGGCTCCCCACTAAGAAAGAACTTTCCAGTGACTAGAGTTGGTCATGAATGAGCTCGCTGGAAATACTCAGAGAACTGTTGTACTGGGTCAAGTTGGATTAAATGACTTCTAAGATCCTGTCCAATTCTTTGTTTTTTTTTTTGAGATGGAGTTTTGCTCTTGTCACCCAGGCTGGAGTGCTCATTGGAACCTCCACATCCTGAATTCAAGCGATTCTCCTGTCTCAGCCTCCTGAGTAGTTGGGATTACAGGCTCCCACCACCACACCTGGCTAATTTTGTATTTTTAGTAGAGATGGGGTTTCACCATGTTGGTCAGGATGGTCTCGAACTCCTGACCTTAGGTGATCAGACCCACCTCGGCCTCCCAGTGCTGGGATTATAGGTAAGCCACCATGCTGGCCTTGATCCTTTCCAATGCTAGGATTCCATTATAAAAAATTTATAAATATGAGGAGTACAAGCTATGTATATATACTGTGTATACACTGTATAGAATATAAGTAAAGATAATCTTAATATGTCCTCTCATTGGAACAAAAACCTGTAGTCACAGTCAAGAAGACAGTAAAGACGTGCTGGTGTTGGGCGAAGCTGTTCCATTCATTGAGAAACTGGCACCCTCACCTGTAAAGGGCATCTGTGTCTGCATGCTAGAGGGATACTGTGCCACGTGTGGCTGTGGTCCATGTCTACCCACAGGCTTCAGTGACTGAGAGGACAGCATCAGGGAAAGGGGCCTCATGGGACTCTGGCTTTGATGTCTTGTCCTGGAGAGGACAATGCTTAATGCTCTGAAGCCCCCAACTTCTAGGACCAGTTTTCCCAATTCAAGCTGCACCACCTCAGGCAGACCACTCTCCTGAGAAGCATACGCTACATTTCTACAGTAAGGGACTGGACGATGTGCTCTCTGAGGTACCTTCCAAATTATACTACATCATTTTGTTGAAACCATCCTCTCCTACAATGAGAGACTGCTGAGTATTCCTTTCAACTTTTAATTTTTGTGAAGCTATTTGGTCTCTATATGCCTTATGGTATTTGATGACCTCTCACTCTAGCACAATGAGCGCAGATACCACTTATTTTGCATAAACTCTAATAAGTGGCTATGAGGTACAAGTGTAGTTAATTTCCATGGCCCAAAATTCCCTAAGAAATTTCCTCTAAAACTGGGCTTTCTGGCATCTGTTGGAGCTCTATTAGGGAAAGTGCCTTCCAGTCACCTGTGAGCTCACCCCGAAGGCTGTCACCTGTTGTGTTTATGTGTGTGGAGGGGGCTGTACTTCTGATAGGGGCTGAGAAAAAGCGCTAGAACAGAGAGGGTGGCACCATCAAACAGGAGAAGCAGCACCTGACCTTGACTGGAAAGACCAGCATGGGCCATGCACTCATTTTTTGTCTGTATGAAAAGAGGCCAACTTGAGAGCAGAGCTGGGGGCCCTGGCTGGTCCCATGACAACCCTAACCGTGTGTGCCTTCTCCTGCGAAGGGCTGAAAAATGCCCAAGGCTTGCCTTCCCTGAGAGTGTTTGAATAAGTGTATGTGTTTGAATGGTTCATGGAAAAACTGCTTTACATTTTTATTTAAGAACCCTGTTAAGCTAATTCAAGGTATTTAAAAGCACTACATCAGGTGGAAAGAAACAAAAGAGAGCCATCAGTGTAAGTGACCTACAGGCTTAGGAAGGGAAACCACTAGTTTAACAAGAAATGTGGAAACCCCATCGCTGTGGAATCATTAGTGATTCCTGGAGATAGGACAATACGTTAATGGCCTTTTACTTTCTGGCTCTTTCCTGGTTTTTATGTAAGGTGAAATGCCCCGAGGTGAAGGTCTCTGGTAAGTCACTGAAGTGGCGAAGTGATGGAGAGACTGAGAAAGACGTCACAGATGAGCGGAACACGAGGTGCAGAAGAGGCAACAGACTCAGGTCATGAACTTCAGGTGAAATCAGAGCCTGGCCACGGACAAAAGGAGGGAATAGGTTTCAAAACCAAAAGAAACAGGAGAGAGCAGAAAGGCAGCAGGGGAAGGTCCAGAGCTTTCCTGGCTGATCCGGCTCCAGACCTCCAGGGAAGCTTCAGAATGAGACGGTCGGTCAGGCCTAAGGAGAGAGCGGCTGTGGATGAAGCACAGATGGAAGATGAGTTAAGTAAGGAAGGAGACTGACTGCACCTAAAGGTCTGGATTTCTCTAAATTCAGCTCACTCCACAAGATGACTCCTAAGATAAGCCTGAATGTACAATCGCCCCTATGCGATCCTGTGTGAGAGGCTCTCTGGGTGGAGACATCCAGTGTTCCTAGGAGACAAAGTTGGGTGGTGAGATAGGGTGGTGCGAGCTGAGTGGTGAGGTTCTGCCAGCACTGGCGGCAAGGAAGTGAGAGGACATAGGCAAGGAAGGGGAGGCCGGGAAGCTGGGTGGGAGCCCTGGGTTTCACCTGAATGAAGCTCCTTCACCAGGGATGACATGGTGTTGGTGATGGAGTCAGCTGCCACCAGCAGGTCATTGCGGAGGTTTCTCCTCGTACCTGAGGAGAGGCAGAGCAGATGGGGATGCAGTGTGGGTGGGCATGGAGAAGAGATGGTCGGGCAAACGCCTCAGTTCTGCCAGGCTCGAGGACACAGGTGTGGAATACCTAAGGGGAGACGGGGCCGCAGCAGCTCCACCCGCTCCCAGGCACATCAGAGACAGGAGGCACTGATCCACTGGTCCCTATCCCTCTGCCCTCTCCACCTGGGCAGCAGCATCTTGTCAGTTCCATGCTTTGGGGTCACCACACAATCAAGAGCTGGGTTCCAGAATAAGCAATCCACTGAGGTCTTCCTCAGCCCTGGGGGTCGGGGGGCTCTACTCTCCACCACCACCTCTCCTTCTCATCCCCAGCCCCTGCAGGACTTCCCTCTGAACCCCTACCCAACGACTTAATACTGCTGGCCACCAGCTCCTCCGATGACTCCAGCAATGCCATGCGCACTGTGCTTTTAGCTTGGTCCCAGGTACAGTGCTTGTTACAGTCCCTTCTAGGCCATCAAATTATTCTATCCAATTCCTCTGGAGGACACAAAGCCCAAAGGACAAAGCACTTCCCATAATCCAGAAAAAAGGGCAGAGAACCCCAGGAGGCCTGTTCTTGGCACACATCGGAAGCCTGCAGCCCTCCCGCTGGAGACCAGCCCGTCTCATGAGAGGGGCCAGCACCTGACTTATTTACACTGTCGGTGAAAATCTGATCACTCAAAGCTAAGAGCACAAAAAGGAAATGGAAAAAACCTCAGCAGGAATCTCATCCATGTTTCCAAACCCCTTCAGCTCCCGGCAAACTCTGCTCCAGAAACTCACCTTGTGCGAAGGCCTCCTGCACGTCTCCCCCAACTCCGCTCAGTGAGTCCTGTGGACAGTGGGTGGGGGTGGAGCCGGCAGACGTGGAGCGGACAGGCATGGGCATCGGGCGGCTGCCTCCGTGGGTGGGCGATGTATGTGGTGACCCTGTGGCCTGAGCCTGGAGATTCAAAGAGAAAACACGTTATCGCAAGTACCTGACCTCTTTGAGGAAGGAAGAAAGTCCTTTTTCTCCATCAACTGGAGCCAGCCAACGGACATCAGAGTTCAGTGGTATAAGATCGTATTTGAAAGGAAGGAGTCAGGCTGCCTCCAAGACTGCAGAGAAGAAGAAAAGAGAAAAAGGAAGGGGGCGTGAAGGGCAGGTGGTTGGAGAACATTATAAGAACAGACCAAGAATGGCAGGGAAAGAAGAGGCTGGCACAGAGGGGCGGAGGGCTCTCAGGAAGACACAGTGAGCTGCGTAGCTGGGCCAGGGCTCTAGAAGGGCTTCGCTTCCAGAGTGGGAAGTAACACACAAACGACTTTCATTTTATTTGCAAACACATTCATGTACACCTTCTCATTTGACAGCCCCAGCAACCTGAGTGGAAAGGGCGTGTGTGTGTGTGTGTGTGTGTGTGTGTGTGTGTGTGTGTGTACGTATTTATATGTGTATATATGTCTTGTTTGGAGACAGAGTCTTGCTTTGTTGCCCAGGCTGGAGTGCAGTGGTGCAATCTCACCTCACTGTAACCTCCACCTGCTGGGTTCAAGAGATTCTCCTGCCTCAATCTCCTGAGTAGCTGGGACTACAGGCGTGCACCACCACAGTGGGCTAATTTTTTTGTATTTTTAGTAGAGACGAGGTTTCACCATATTGCCCAGGCTGGTCCTGAACTCCTGAGCTCAGGCAATCTGCCTGCCTTGGGCTCCCAAAGTACTAGAATTACAGGTGTGAGCCACCACGCCAGGCCATAGCATATATTTTTATATCCATTTTATAGAAGGAGAAGAAGAATGGAAAGAGTGAGAGTGTTGTATCAGGCCACACAGTTCGCCAGTGGGAGGCATGGGAAGAAGCCCTTGACTCCAGGGGTGGCAGTGCACACTCTGCAGGCTGCGCCCCCACTTCCCCAGGGCATGCTCTGAGCATGTGGGGAGCTCAGCTACAGGCTGCAAGCGGGGCTGTCAGGCCCGTCCTGCCACATGCACAGCAAGGCTGTCCGGGGCCGCCCCATGGAGACGAGGTTTGAAAGGTCACATGGTAAGCAGACACCAAGCTTTTCTTGGGAGGCCCTGGTAGAGTTGTGGAGAAAGTTTGGAGCAATGGGATAAAATAAATAAAAGGAGAAAAGTGATCAAGGGCCGCTGAATGAGATGTGGGCTCTGCAGCTCTTCAGAGCAATAGGAACAGTGTGGCAGGTAGACTAGGGTTTTCTGTGGAAGCAAAACTGGAAAAAATATAAGCCAAAGTGTGACAGTGAGTTCAAATGAAGATAGTTATTCTGGGGATCCAGCTCAGAAACCCCACATACAAACAGAAGTGGCCCTGAACAGGTGGACAGGCTGGATGCACGACATCCCAACGCAGTGCTCCAACTGTGTGGCCACCGAATGCAACAGAAACGGATTGTTCTCTGTGGTTCTCACTTTGAATAGTGTGTGTGTGCGTGTGTACTTTGAGAAGTTAAAAAAAATACAGAATTCTAAAAAGTACAACATAATAAACCATCTACCCCAAATCGGTAACCGTTCATATTGTCAAATGTATTTCAACCTAAAAAGATTGCAGAGAAATCTGAAGACAGCTTTGACCACCAGCTCTTTCCTCTCATCTCTTCAGAGGCAACCATTATCAAAGATTTTGGTGTGAAACTTTTAACCTATATGTGCATATATAACTATGAATAATAGATGATATTTCATGCTTTTAAGTTTTGCATGAATAATATTGTACTGCTCATATCACTTTGCAATTTGCTTCGGTCACTTAGCATGCTTTCTGAGATCTTTCCGTGATACAAATAAATATGAACTAAATCAAAATGGATCATAGTAACTACAATAGCTAAAACGAAAATGGATCATAGTAACTATAAGAGCTAAAACTATAAAACGTCTCAAAGAAAACACCAGAAAATTCTGTGACCTTGGATTAGGCAAAGATTTCTTAGCTATCACACCCAAACCATGATATGTAAAAACAAAACAGATAAACTGGCTTTCATTGAAATTTTAAGAAGTGGTGTGATCTCGGCTCACTGCAACCTCCATTCCCCAGGTGCAACTGATTCTCCTGCTTCAGCCTCCCGAGTAGCTGGGATTACAGTTGCATGCCACCATGCCCAGCTACTCTTGTATTTTTAGTAGAGACAGGGTTTCACCATGTTGGCCAGGCTGGTCTCGAACTCCTGACTTCAGGTGATCCACCGTCTCACCCTCCCAAAGTGCTAGGATTAAAGGCCTGAGCCACTGGGCCCAGCCAAACTGCTTTTCAAAGGGTACCATTAAACAACATATGGACCATTCAATTCAGAATGAATCAGTAACTTAAACATAAGAGCTGAAACTATAACATTCTTAGAAGAAAACATAGGGGAAGGCTTTATAATCTTGGATTAGGCAATAACTTTTTAGGTATGACATCAAAAGCCCAAGCCATGAAAAGCTAGACACAGTGAACATTATCAAAAGTAAAACTTTTGTGCTTTGAAGAATACCATCAAGAAAGTGAAAGTCAACCCCCAAAGAGGGAGAAAATGTTTGTAAATTATATATGATACATGATCTATATCTAATATATATAAAGAACTCTTACAACTCAATAATAAAAGGACAAATAATATTTTTAAATGGGCAGAGGATCTGAATAGACATTCCTCCAGACATATAAATGTCCCATAAGTACATGGAAAGATGCTCAATATTATTAGACATTAGGGAAATGCAAATCAAAACTACAATGAGACACCACTGCACACTCACAAGGATGGCTATAATAAAAAAGACAAGTAGGACAAGAATGTGGAGAAATTAGAATCCTACTATACTGCTGATAGAAATGTAAAATGGCCATCAAACAAGTCTAAGTAAATTTAAGAAAACCAAAGTTATGTCAAGTACTCTATCAAACCACACTAGAATAAAACTGGAAATCAACTCCAAAAGGAACCCTCAAAACCAGGTCAATACATGGAAATTAAATAATCTGCTCCTGAATGATTGTTGGGTCAACAATGAAATCAAGATGGAAATTTAAAAATTCTTTGAACTGAATAATAGTGACAAACCTATCAAAATCCCTGGGATACAGAAAAAGCGGTGCTAAGAGTAAAGTTCATAGCATTAAATGCCTACATCAAAAAGTCTGAAAGAGTACAAACAGACAATCTAAGGCCATACCTCACAGAACTGGAGAAACAAGAACAATCCCAACCCAAACCCAGCAGAAGAGAAATAATGAAGCTCAGAGCAGAACTAAATGAAATTGAAACACACACAGTAAAGATACAAAAGATAAATGAAACAGGCTGGGCGCAGTGGCTCACACCTATAATCCCAGAACTTTGGGAGGCTAAGGGGTGGCTCACTTGAGGTCCGGAGTTCGAGACCAGCCTGGCAAACATAGTGAAACCTGTCTTTACTGAAAATATAAAAATTACCAGGGTGTGGTGGTGGGTGCCTGTAATCCCAGCTACTTGGGAGGCTGAGGCAGGAGAATCTCTTGAACCCAGGAGGTGAAGGTTGTAGTGAGCTGAGATTGTACCACTGTACTCCAGCCTGGGTGACAGAGGGAGACTCTATCTCTAAAATAAATAAATAAATGACCCCAAAGCTGGTTCGTTGAAAAGATAAAATTGATAGACCACTAGCAAGACTAACCAAGAAAAGAAGAGAGAACATCCTAATAAGCTCAATTAGAAATGAAACAGGAGATATTACTACTGATACCACAGAAGTACAAAAGATTATTTAAAGCTACTATGAACATCTTTACATGCATAAACTAGAAAACCTAGACTGAGCATGGTGACTCATGCCTGTAATCCCAGTGCTTTGGGAAGCCGAGGTGGCGGATCATGAGGTCAGGAGTTTGAGACCAGCTTGGCCAACATGGTGAAACTCTGTCTCTACTAAAAATATGAAAATTAGCTGGGTGTGGTGGTGGGTGCCTGTAATCCCAGCTACTCAGGAGGCTGAGGCAGAATTGCTTGAACTCGGGAGGTGGAGGTTGCAGTGAGCCAAGATCGAGTAACTGCCCTCCAGCCTGGGTGACAGAGCAAGACTCCATTAAAAAAAAAATCTAGAGGAGATAGATAAATTCCTGGAAATATACAACCCTCCTAGATTAAACCAGGAAGATATAGAATCTCTTAACAGACCAATAATAAGCAGCGTGATTGAAATGGTAACCAAAAAATTGCCCAAAAAAAAGTCCAGGACCAGATGGATTCACAGCTGAACTCTATCAGACATTCAAAGAAGAATTGGTATCGATCCTATTGATACTATTCCAAAAGATGGAAAAAGAGAGAATCCTGCATAAATCATTCTATGAAGCCAGTATCATCCTAATGCCAAAACCAGAGAAGGACAAAACAAAATGAAAGCTATAGACCAATATCCCAGATGCAAAAATCCTCAACAAAATACTAGTGAACCAAATCCAACAGCGTTGTCAAAAACATAATCTACCATGATCACACGGGTTTCATACCAGGAACGAAGGGATGGTTTAACATATGTAAGTCAATAAATCTGATGTACCACATAAACAGACTTTAAAACAAAAATCACATGATCATTTCAATAAATGCAGAAAAAGTGCTTGACAAAATCCAGCATCCCTTTTTGAGTAAAACCCTTAGCAAAATTGGCACAGAAGGGATATACCTTAATGTAATAAAAGCCATCTATGACAAACCCACAGCCAACATTATACTGAGCAGGGAAAAGTTGAGAGCATTTCCCCTGAGAACTGGAGCAAGACAAGGATGCCCACTTTCACCACTTCTATTCAACATAGTACTAGAAGTCCTAGTCAGAGCAATCAGACAAGAGAAAGAAATAAAGGGCATCCAAATCGATACAGAGGAAGTCAAACTGTCGCCACATGCTGATAATACGATTGTCTACTTAGAAAATCCTAAAGACTCACTGGGCACTGTGGCTCACGCC